AAAGCCGTGCGTTTACCTGTCATATACACGGAATTTAATAGGCGTGTATGGCTCGAACGCACCCTTATTTGCTAAATGATATCAGGGGAACAATTAAATTTCACTGTCCCCTGATGATATTTATACCTCCTTGTTCTGACCATTTTACTGTATGTGTCTGTCAGATTTTTGGGGAGGGAGTAGAGCAGCTTTCCCCCTTCCCCCTTGTTCAACTTCCATTGCATTGCTTTCTTCATTTTATTATAATAACTGTACTCTATCACTGCCTCCGTAGGCTACCACCAGTATAGAAGACGTTCCAGATGTACCAGTTGATATTGCTGAGCCCGATATAAACACCACACTTGGCAACGACACATCAGGAAGCCTTGAGGAGGAGGGCGACCTACCAGAGGTCATTGAGATAGCGGAGGGATATTACTATATAAATCATATTCTTCAAACTCTATGTATAATACATACCCTAGCATCACTCTCAATGTTGCTTGCATATTGTGCATTGAAGGTATGTCATAAGAAATAATTTGCCCATATTAGGTGGGCATGAAGTCATCACACCCATATATGGGCATGATGATGGCATATCACCCCATATATGGGCATATTACAGATTGTTTTTTTTTTTCACAGGAAAATTGTTATCAAAGCTTTGAAATCTTCATATAGTATCAAATTTATTGATTAGTGGCCACTTTTGCTACTGCTTTGTTACAGTATGTTATAATTGTTAATTATATTTGTGTCTTTTTGCAGATGCCTCTTGCTATTTTCAAAAGAGAGAAGGAAGTTGCAAGGAAGCTGGAATTTGATGGAATGTGGATAGTGGAACAGCCATCCACAGATGATATCAAAGGGCACTGGGACAAACTTGCAATTAGTGCTCCGTCATTCCCTGAAAACTACTGGGATAAATTTGTCAAGAGAAAGGTAGGATGTGGATTTCACATTGAAGACTGTGACTGCATTTTTAATTCGTGTCGCGACCTTATTTTTTTTTTTGATTATCAGAGGAGGGCGGAAAAAATTTAAAATAAAATGTTGTGTTCTTATAGCAAGTGGTTTTGCCAAAAACATCTAGACAGGGGAGAAAATAAAAGTAACATTTTATTAGTGAATGTAAAAACAGTGTAGTATGGTTAACTAATTTAAATTTACATAATTAGGAAGAAATATACACATCTTATTTTTTGAGATTTCAGGGCAGTGGTGGCATAATAAAAATAAAGAAATATTTTATTTTTTTCTGAAATTTCCATTTTTTCATTGTGGCAGGTGCACTAATTGGGCAAAAAT